CTATGCACTTGGCTCTTTGCACTTGGCTCTATGTATTTGGCTCTATGCACTTGGCTCTATGCACTTGGCTCTATGCACGGCTCTATGCACTTGGCTCCATGCACTTGGCTCTATGCACTCGGCTCTATGCACTCGGCTCTATGCACTCGGCTCTGTGCACTTGGCTCAATTTGCACTTGGCTCTATTTGCACTTGGCTCTATGCACTTGGCTCTATGCACTTGGCTCTATGTATTTGACTCTGCGCAAGTGACTCTATGCAAGTTGGTCCGAGAGCTCCGCGCGGAAGAACCCTTCGCGATGTTTTCGGGAAAAAAATGTGATTCCCGAAACAAGAAGCCAACAGCTGGCTTCTGCTGTCCCCCGGTGTCCTCTTGGGGTCCCTTTCCGGTGTCCTTTTGAACAGCTGCCGCCGAACGCTGGGCCTTAGGGATCAACGGTCCAAATGTTCCAGGCTGGTCGGTGCTAATCAGCTTCCCTCTGACTGGTGGTTTGGTGGTTTGGCGTTTACGGAGTGGTTTCCCATCTACCCTCTACAAGAAGGGGTGCAAATCCCCAAATCACCAACCACCAACTCTAAGAAGGGTACCCTTAAAATAAAAACTGCCTCACATGGCCTTGGTCCTCATTGGGAAGCGAGAAAGACGTACCTTCCAAACGTGGAACCCACGTTTAACAACCCGTTTCGGATTTTAAGTTGCTCTCTCCCACTAACATGGAACTGTTGGACCTCCTATGGCTGATTGGTATTGTTCCATATGCTCAAAAGGTTTCTGGGGAGACTATGTGGGAGCCTGTTTGTAGACCCTTACAATGGGGCTTTCCTTGTTGCGTCCCTTCAAAAAACACCAAGCGGGTTGGACAGACCCATGTCGCGTCCACGGTGCGGGGCAGCTTGGCGTCGACAAGTAAATCCGGGATACCGACCACATGGTTGGGCTCGATGCCCTCCTGTGTGCTTTCGGGAACGCATGGAATCCCCATGGGTATGTGGCTGTGGGTGGGAAATAGGTACCCAAAATGGAACCCTGGTAAATGGAAACATGGACTAAAACCTGCGGTCTGGTGATTCAATTTTGACCCATACCCATGTCTTGTTGTTGGACCCAAGTTGTGGTGGTTGTTTTGGTTTCCAAACAGAGGTACCACCCAGGAGTTCGGGCTTTGAAGGGATGATGTTGAGCACATTTTAATCAACCCCAGTTTTATTGAGGGCTGCTTCTTCTTGGGTAACAATGTGGGGGAATCAGACCACTTTTGGCCAGGGCAAAAACCACCCCCCTTATTAATAAACTGGTTGGTTGATTAATATGGTATCAACATTAACAGGAACAATCGAGTTGTAACGAAGATGACGTTTTTGTAGTGACGCATCCCCTGGAGAACGGGCACCCCACAGCGATGTCACATGTGAAATCCTCTGATGTCCAAATCCACTGATGATAAAATCCACTGATGTCATTTCATTCTGAAATGTGGCTTCTCTCATTCGTGGGCGCGTTCATTTGCCGCCCTTTGTGCTTTCTTGGCTTTTCCTGCCACCCTCAGCCACTCTTCCAACCAGGCCAAGGCTTTCCTCCTACTTTCCCCTTGAATCGGGTTGTAACATCTTCAGATGCCGGAAGCCGCTGGAGTCCAGTTCGGCCGGAAAAAAGGATGGAGCCGGAAATCGCAGATCCTTGCATCCAAACCGGAGGGGAAGGTTGGAGCTTCAACCAGCTTGAACATCCAAGTGTCTGGCAGAGACGGGGAGAAACAACGAATTGGCTGCTTCCCCCCTTGGCAAGAAGCTACAAAACGAAATGGCATTCCGAGTTAGCCATCAGAGTTGGAAACATACCAGTTCCCAATCCCAAACATTGGGTGGCACCCAGATTCAGAACTAGCCTCGGTCGCCCACATTTGCCACACCTCCCCCCCCCCCCACACTTCTCGGCACACATCAACCACACCCGTCAAAACAACAATTGTGTTCAACCATTTCTCGCTTAACCAATAGAAACAGAAAATTAGAATCATGTCTTCAGCAAGAGGTCAAAACCCCCCTATTTTGCCATGGGTCAAAATCCAAATCGTACCTCCAGTGAACATCCCAATCCCCACCAAAACAGGTTCTAAAATGAGTGGTGCACCAATCCCCCAAAATGGGATCCCATTGGTCTTGACCCACAGCCATTTTTGTATGTTGTCCATTTCGATAGGTCCATCAGCGGGTTTTCTGGGTGCGTCCTCCTGGGCCTCCTGCATGCACCGCTCGGCCGCTTTCAGGTTGCCCACCTGCGAGTGGGTCGGGAAAAACTCGGTGATAACCATTTGGGGCCACTAAAAATGAAAGGGGAATCCAAAAGGGGTCAAAATGGACCCAGGGGAACCAAAAGGTCAAAAGGTCAAAAGCTTCGGGCAAGTAAGAAACTGAAAATGGCCGGTTGTTCTCTGGCATCTTGAAGGGAAACCAAAGGACACCCTTCCCATTTTGGAAGCGACACCCGAAATTCGATTCCAGAGGGAAGAACACGCATGCCTCGAAAACTCCGGCCTTGACATAGGCCTTCATCATCGAAGATAGGAGGTTGACGTTCACCTTCTTCTCCTTCAGCGCCTCAGAATCCGCTCCCCGCCGAGACTCGCGAACTCCCGTGCGCGCGTTCAGCGTTTTGAGCGAACGTTCAAAGGCCACAGAACTCATTTAAGCTCAAGGAGGGAAAAGGGCCAATTCTCTTTGTATGGCAGCTTAGTCTCCATCTTTGACCTGAAACATGGAATTTGGTTTCCCAAAGAGAACGCACCTCTAATGGCTGGATTATTCATTAGTCTTGCAAATGGTTGGTTTCAGGTTGGCTTCCTCTTGAAATGAACCAAAAAGCAGTTCAACTCAAAGAGACACGGCGTGTCTAAAACTAGACCCCCAATTTTGGTGCTCTTGTTGATGTCCCTTCAACCACACCCACACACACACACACACAGCTGCGCGTTGTCCCTTGTCTCTCCATGCGCCTTGTCGTACCAGCTTTGGGCCGCATCCACGTCGCCGGCGTCAGCGTAGGCTGAGACCTTAGGGCATCGCTCATCTTGAAGTCTCTTGCAGGCACCCCTCGAAACATCGCGCCAAAAGGAAACTGAAATTCTGCACATTGGCAACCGCAAGGCAATGTTCAAAGCCAAAAGGGGAACTAGAGGGAACTCTGTAGGTACCCCCCACCTGAGGTATGTGCTTTCAAAGGTCCTGGAAGGAAGATCGGACCTTCCACAATCGGAAACATCGGTGCCCCTTTTTGGTGGATTGGTCCCCATAAGTGGGGAGCCCACCAAAAAAAAGGGGGTTCAGTGCTAAAAAAGGGGCAGGCATCTCCCACTGACCCTACCGCAAGCAGGTGGAATTCATGTTTGACCGTGCCATTGGCCTACTTCCAAGAAACATGGAAGTGGACCATGTCTGATTTGTCCGCTTCCATGGTTGCAAAAAGGCTACGCGGAACCATCAACCATGGCTTGACTGAAAACCTGGTTGGGCTCGAAAGGGAACCAGCCATGCTTTAATACGTCCACACAAAGAGCCGTTGAAGCTGAACTCATTTGTGTGTGTGTGTGACCTCTGGTCGCATTCCCGTGAACGTTTACCTTCTACACCGCCAAGCAAGCGATCCACGGGCAAACCTGCTCCCCGGAAAAACTTGGAGAAAAAATTGGAGAAAGAATGGGGGGGTGAGCCCCTCATGTCCTCCCTACCTATCAGCCAATCACGTGGTGGTGGCTTCCATTCGGTTTCCCTTTCAACCACTCCCAGAAGGGCACCTCACACAAAGATACATTCGTACTGGTCTCGTGCCTGGCTGTCTCATTTGCCCTGGTCCACATTCAGCCTGAATCACAGGAGACGCGGACCAGCTCCAAAGGGCTTGTGCAAGGCCCAGTGAAACTTTCCACACTGACACGCGTGCTGGAAGCAAGTAAGTTTCTACTTTACTGTGTAGGTATTCGGATCAAGTGAATGATCGTGTTTGTTAGCTTTGTGTCTCCATAGTTTGAGGCAGCATGCTTGCGTTTTTGTTGTTGGTGATCTGGACAAATCGGAACAGAGTCTTGCGGGAAAAATCTCAAAACAACTCGCGGGTTTCCCTCTGTAGCGTTTGCAACTAACAAAGACAAATAACCCGGCTTAGAGAAACAAGCAACACTCCTGTGCTTTGCCTAGTTTTTCCAGCCCCCCCCTAACTTCCTCCCTAACTTCGGCCCTTACCCCCGCCCCCTAACTTCCCTGACCCCAAGCCTCACCCTTTTCATGTCATGCCCCCCGGGCCCGGGTTTCGAAACACGCAGTGATGCCAAGCGAGGCCAAGCGAGGTCCGCGCCACGGTGCCGTAGGTGAGAACCGTGGGCTTCAAGCCCTGCAGCTGCATGGCGCTCAAGTGCTCCTGAAGCCCGGCCCTGGGCGCGGGCCGAAATCCGGGGGGAGGGTGGTGGGGGGTGGGGAGGTGGATGCGGCTGGTGGGGGTGGGGGGAAGTGGGGAGATAGGGGGAAGTGGGGAGATGGGGGGTGGGCGGGTGGGGAGGGGGGCGGAGAGGTGGATGTGTGAGTTTGGGTAGGTTTCCTTGGATTTGGGAAGGGAGGGAGGTGTGTTTTTTGAGGTTGTAAAAAACAGGGACCCGCTCTCTCGCGGAAAAAAGGGGGTGTTCATATAAGCATGTATATATATATATATATAAATATACATATTTATATACATACATGTTACATTAAGTCCATGATACGTCTCTACGATCAGGGTATTTATTTCAGTACACAGCCATGTTGATCATGAAACACTCTCTCAGACCCCCCTCCCCCCCCACCCCCAACATGCCTGATGGTGGCAATGCTCCCCGATTTTGAGGGATTCTTGGACATGGCCAACCTCGGCCCACCCCAAAAACCCATGGCGCTCAACACCACTTCGCACAAAGAACTCCACATCTCAACCCGGGGGAAAGGCGCTCTGCCCTCGAACTCTTTCCCCGAACAAAGTTCGGTCCCCGATCTTTTTGGCGCCACCCTGTACTGGTGGGGGGGGGGGGGGGGGGGAACGGGGGGGCAACCACACAAACGAGCTAAAATCGTGTGTATGTACGTATGTGTGTGTGTGTGTGCCTTTTTTTTGGAATCGGGCATGCCCAGAATAGCCGGCTTGCTTTAAAAACCACAAAATTTGGGTTCCAGAACCAAATGATTGCAAGAGTTGCTGGCTACCAATCACGACCTAACGAAAAGGATACTTCTGTCGGGAACCTGAATGGAGACTTGAAAACTTGGAATACATAATAATAATAATTTATTATTACTATTATTTTATTTAACAAAAAAAAAAGCTTATTAAACAAAAACAAAAAAGAACACACACACACACACACACAGAGTCCTCAAATAAGTGGTTGTACCTACCCCCCTTTAGGGATTATCCTGGTCTCCCCTTGTTCTGCCCAAAACCTTTCCAGTTTGCTCCCTCCCTTTTGAGGGCAGCGAGCCTTCCGGGCCGAACAGAATTCTCGGCCCAGGCGCAATCGCCCGCAGGCGATCTCCGCCTTCATCAGGGTGTTGTATGAGACCTGCGATCGACGCGGGGAGCGAGTGAGCCGGGGCGGGTGGACAGCCGTCTGTGGAAAGGCGCCAATGGAAATACCAAGCAGACATCGGGAGGTTTTAGGTTTCCTGGCCTCATTATTTTACCATGATCAAACTCAATTTCTAAGTGATGGGTTAAAGGGAAACACCCCCATTTTCTGACTTTGATAACGCCTAGAAACGGTCAAAACAATGACCCCAGTTATCTGGAGCAGTATGTTAAGTATGCAAGGAGGGGAACTTCAACTTGTGTTCGTCTCTAAATGGGATTCGGAGGCCTCAAAAACAGCCTTGAACCATTCCCATTCTTTCCAACGGGATTTGAAACCCTTAAAACCGATTTCTGTTTGCACGTAAAAGAAACCCTGAGAAAGACACTCTGTGGGTCTGTCTTTCAGGGGACCCCAAAATGAGTAGGCTCTCAGACAGTCCCTTTGAACTGAAAGCACCCAACAAATCATATGAACTGAAAGTCCAAAACGCAGTGGTGCCGAGGGTTTTCTTTTCCCAAGAGAGTCGGAATCGTGGAAGGGACCCAAGCCCAGCGGTTGGTCCAGCTATGATCGGCTCAACTTACTTGGGTCCCAGGTAGTGGAAGTGCCAGCTGGGTGGCATTGGCCGATCGTCAGTTTCGGATGTTGGGAAACACCCATTCCAACCTGGGACCTGGCAATGTGTCCACTATCAGGATCCCCTGTTGTGGCCCAACGTCCAGCAAGTGAAACCACCCCTCCAAGGCAGGTTTGAGAAGCCTCAATATTGCGGACGAAAAAAGTTTTGCACCAGTTGGGATGGATGAAAGATGAAAAACACCCTGCAAATTGTGGGATTCTGAGGGTCTTTGTATTACACCCTGGGATTACACCCTCGGGAAATTATGCAGAATGGTTCCAAAAAAAAGTGTTATCCGGAAATGTGCCATGGGGTCAATACCCAGTGGGTGTATTCTTCAGGGTGTAATACAAAAATCCTTAGAGGGATAAGCATGAGTACACCACTAAGTGGTGTTGTCCATCCACACCCCAAACCGCTTGATTTGGCTGATTGGGTCCCCCTTGGTTGGTCACAGGGATAAAACAGCTAGCCATGTGCGGAGAGTGAAAGACTCGAACCTGTAGTAATTTGTAACATGTAGTTGAACATCTGTGCACCTATATACTGTACTGCTCGTCCAAAATGAAGACCCCTAACATAGGTTAGTGCCAACAAAAATGAGGCACCTCTCCCATATCCACACTCGCAAATGATTAGAATTCGCCCACCTTGAAAGAAGCAATGGAATGGTGGGGTCCTTTTGTTGATGCCCCCTTTTTTGTGGTCTCAAACAGGGATCCTTACATTATACACCTGAACATTGCCTTGTAAATAGGTTTCCCTTTTGTGTGGTGTTGAAAAAGCAACATATTTCAAACGGTTGCAAAATGGAGATCTTTGAAGGAGCCCTGTTCCATTGGGGAACCAGAAGGAAAACCGCTGCCGTTGCAAAAGCCTCAGACGCAGCTGAATCTCGGGGCCTGGTCAGGCTGCAAGCCCGCGGCCAAGATGTGGCCCAGCCACACCTAGCTGAGCTTCGGACCCCAGAACAGCCGAGGTCCGGGCGACTTGAGCGCGTTTGTTGGATGCTGGAAACGGTCTTGGAGTCAAGGATCTCTAGATGACCAGAACCCTGGTTGCAAGGGTTGGAAAGGAGTTCGATCTGGGGGTTGAGTGATGGAATCGCGGATCAATCAGTTTAGTCTGTCCAAACCTGGGCGGGCTGGCACCGGCTTTGGATTTGGCTTAGCCGGAAACAGAAATCCGAAACGGTCAGGGGATGTTACCCTCGAATCCATATTCAACAGCGCCTTCTGCCCACCCCCCTTTCCCTCAACCTACCGGGGTTCTCAAAATAGGATTCGGACCGAAGCCTTCTGGTTGGGTAAACCACGAAAGGAACCAATCGTTTAGGGGGCTGTTGAGAACGCCGAGCATGAAAGTGCACGGAGACCCTTGAAAGCTCAATGTTGGTGAGAAGAGTAGCCATAAGGGCCATAAGTGCTTGTTTTTTGTTTGTGATTCGGGCACGAGCCTGTGCCCAGGCAATGGGTAAGTTGGGGTAAACAAGCCACAAAAGAAAGGTTCCCCAAAAGCAAACCAATCCCCGGTCCCAAAGATCAGGGTTTCCCACACACCAGAGAACAACAACCAAAGGAAAACAAACCACACAAGAAAAGGGTTAACCCGCAACCTTGGTCGACAACAGGCCGCACGACTGATCCCTACCAACCTGACAGCGGCCCGAGGTCTCTTTCTCCCCCGAGATGCCGTCGGTCGACGCAGGGGTTCGGCGACGCCCATTCGAGGCGCGACGGAACCCAAAATCTTGAGCCAAAACACCACAGGTCGGTCACTAACGCGACGTCCCTGATGATGATATTAACCATGGCTAATCACACCCCCCTCACGAGGAGCCCGTCATATGACGGGTGGAGCGTGCCATTTACTGATAGGATTTAACTGCTCGCATGTGTCCGCAAACAGCTGGACACTACCGCCGTCAGCGGTGGAACAAACCCACAAAGGCAGTTGCGCGACATCCCGGGCATTAAATTCCCGCCACCACCCCGAATTAATCGGGGTAACGCTGTCCAACATACCTTGTGGAAAAGTCCACATGACGACAATAGGTCACAACTGTTTGCATCAGAAATGCAAGAAGTTTAATTCTTATCAGAAGCCATGAAATAAAAGATAACGTATGTCCTTTAGTACCCTCGCCTAACGGCAAGAGGTACTCCTGACCATGCGTACCTGAAAAATGCCTGAATTCCGCAAACCCGGGAGTAACCCCCCATCAGTTTGCTTTCCCTCTCACTCATACTGCTTCCGGATGAGCACGTCCAGCAGCTCAGCAGCGGTGCGGGAGAGACATGACCTCCGCGCCTCAGCGGTCCGGGAGGAACATGACCACCTCCACACCGCGCCGACCATTGGAGAATGGACGCAAGCCTATCGGCCGCAATCCCCGTGACTCAGCCTACCGGCTATCGTCACGTCTCCTCCGGTCACGCCCGCCCCGCGCACGGTCCCTATCACGATCCCTTTCGGATCTCCTGCGATCATCTCGCCTTCGATCTCGCTCCCGATCAAGTGAATCATCATCACGACGATCACGAGCATCGTCCCTCCTCCTGTCGCGATCATCCTCGCGCCGCGGACGGTATCTGCGCCTCCTCGACTCTCTGGAATCCCTGGTGTCCACGGTCCTAACGGACCTCCGAGAAGGAGTACGGGAAACATCCGATTCCCTACGCCTCCTCCCAGATCGAGAGTTAGTCACGATCTGGTTGAGAGCCTCCAGTGCCGACGCGTCCTCACCATTCCTGATGAAATCCCTGACCTGCTTGTTCAGCACTCTGTTGGTGGAGATCGACAAGAAAGCGTCCACCACCGAACTCTCAGGCAGCACCAGGAAGTGACCCTCCACCGGGCTCGCCGCAGCCCGCTCAGCAGACTGCAGCCGGATCTCCCCGCCTTCAGGCTTCTTTGCCATCGCCTTTGAGGCCGTCAAAGGCGCTACCGCATCCTTTGCCGAAGATCTGCCAAGCGCGGAGTGAAGATCATCCCCGCTAGCTTCTCTCGCTGCCGCACCTGGTCTGCTGTCGACGTCGCCAGGCCTCGTGGACGCCTCCCGCTTTGTCGACTCCTTCGCAGCCTCGTCGGGATCCCAACGGGATTTCCTCTCTCTCTTCTGCCCTTCGGCCGACCCGCGGCTACCGCCGGGAGCGTCACCTCCGCCTGTCTTCTCCTTCTTGACCTCAACCTTCGGTTCGGCCTGCTTCGTCTCCTTAGCCACAGCTTTTGGAGCCGGAGCACTCTTCGCCTCAGATGCTGAAGCAGCCTTCCCTCTCGGCTCGGCCTTAGGAACCGGGGTCACTTTAGCCTTGGCACTCGGCCTGGCCCCTTCAACCACCCTCTCGGCCCATGACTTCTTCGGCTGAGCCGCTGCTGTATCAACCTCCATCGGAGCAGGTCCAGCATCATCCTTCGCCTTTGGGACAGATGGGCTACCGCCCTTACCAGATCCTTTACCTGGCACTTCACCTGATTTTGGTGGTGGGCCGGAAGGACTACCGCCCTTACCGCCCTTTTCCCCGTTCTTCCCTTTTCCTTTTCCGCCCTTGGGGACCGGCTCCTGCTTGGGACCAGGACCCGGCGCAGCATGATGCACCGATTGGAGTCCCTCGATGTCCACGTTCAAAGGTTCGGGTTGACGACCGTCAAGAACCGTCCTCACCTTTTCGTCACTAACGTAGACGAACGGGTCACGGAAGGGTGCGGGAGGCTCCGACTGTCCGGCGCTGATCGCCTTCTGCACCTTGGCTATCGCCTCCTTCAACCTCTTCTTCTCATCGTACCCCGTCTCCGATACCATGTACTTCCTGAGCTGCGAAATCAACGCATGACTCTTCAGGATGTCCACGTCCTTTCGATGGGTCGGGTACAATGGGGTCAGATGACCAGCCGCAGAACCAATCACGTATGCCATCGGAATATAGAATGACAAGTACGTGTCATGACGAGCGAACTTCCTAACGGAAGTCGGCATACGCCTACCCCACTGAGCAGCGTGTCTTGGGTTGGCCCGGAAGTACTCCGTGACCGACTCAAATCTATCGACTTGGTTGGTCTTGATCAGGTGCTTCGCCACCCACTTCTCCACACACGCATCCGAGGCCGAAATCCCGGACACATAGGAGAATTGGAATAGCACCTTCGCCAGCTCATCCCACGCCGCATCGACACCTCCCTTGTCTTCACCAAGATAAGGGGGAAGTCTGATGCCGCTCTGCACCGTCATCCTTAGATCGGATGCCATCGACTAGGAAATCAAATTCCTCTTGATGACTCCGACCACTTCGGAGGGAATCCTCCTGGGCTTGAACTGCCCCATGGTCCTCACCCACTCCGGCACGATGTGGCACGTTTCGAAGTCCTTTTCCTCCGCGTTGGGGATAATGTTCGGGTAAAAGACCGGGAGCGCGCACCCGGGACACAAGTGCATCCCATTCGGCATCAATTCTGCGCACCTCAAGCAGAACGTGGCAGTCACATTCAGCCTGATCTCTTCCCGTGATCGCTTGTGCTCTCCCCTAACGGGGGTGAAGTCACCGTAGTCCCATGCCCGATGGTACACTATCGTGTAATCATCGTACATATACGCCGCCGTCCAAGCCCCCATGTGGATCTCGTTCCTAACGGCAAGAGTCTTCCTTCTCGTCAAAAACACGGGTCCAACCAAGGACCAGTGCACCCGAAGATCCACCATTACTACCACGTACCTACCGGAGTAGTTCCGCAGCCTGTCCCTGACATACCACGAAGGCGATACCTCGGCATCCGGCGCCATGGCTCCCACAAGTGGGATCAGGCCCTCATCCTGTCTACCATCTCCAATGGTCTCGTACACATCGGGCCTCGTGATCAATATCTCGATCATGGCCTTTCCATTTCGCCTCACCCTTTGGAGCTGAACTGCCTTCCGAAAGTCCGAGAACTTCATGATGATGTATCCCACCATGGGGAGTTCGTTCCAATGCATCTCATACATCAGAGATCCTCCAGGTGCATCTTCTTGAGTATACCTGTTCCTAACGGCACTGTAACTCAAGTCGCGTCCGATCCGCGTATGCCTAACGGCAATCAACCTGGTGCTCTCTCTGAGGAGGACGCTATCCCCGTCGTACATGACCATGAGCATCACTTCCACTTGCCCTACCGGGAAAGCTTTGATCATCGGAATGAAGAACTTCCAAGACATCTCAGCGTTCTCCATGCCCGAAACCTCCTTCAGGAACCAGATGGCCTGGTCACTTTTCACCCAGTTACCAGCCTCACGTCCGGCCTCCTTCAGCACACGTTCCTCGAATAACTCCGAGACTCTCTTGGAATTGATGACCAAACCGTCGAAATCGCACGAGAGCAGTCTCATCAACTCCTTCGCCGCCTCCCGTCCTGCGACAGTGCCCACGGTCTCCTCGTAGCTCGGGAGGTACTCGCCCAACCTTGTCTTCGAGGGAACCACAACCTGGCAAGTGACGGCCTCATCAGGGATAACTCCCGTCTCCCTCAACTCTGGACTGATCTCTCGCCTATCGGCAAGATAATCCTTCTTCCCATCCAGTATCACAAGATTATAGGTCATCTTGCTCGCCGCCTCACTAGGCCTGAACTTCCTGCTATCATCCAGCTGGTCAGGAGCGAAGGGTCCACTAGGGGCGGCCGCACTCACCAGAGGCGCTCCTCGCCCAGAGCAGAGGTGCTTCTTATGAAAGTTCACCATCTGATTCAGCTGCGATAGTGCGTAAGCACGATCCTCCAATGACGCACTCTTCATCCCGGCCTCAGTCAGAGGAGCCTCAGGCTTGTCATAACTCGCCTTTCCGCCCCATCTCGCCGCGACCAGCTCAGCAGATTTCACAGGGTCGATCATATTTCCCGACCACTCAGGCATGTTGCTCAACCTCCTAGTCAACGCGTCTACCGACGCAGCCAAGTCTTCGTCCGTCACGGTGTAAGG